CTTTATGCATAAAGAAATGTTTTTAAGAGTTTTWGTCAAATGCTTTATAAYATAGTATAGATAATATGAAGGATAATTAAATATTGTATTAAAAGTACTTTATAATGACAAAAAGTACTGATAAAAAAAAGCAATAAAGTTTACAAGAAAATCCGCAGAATTGCCTTGTGCTTACAAGGTACATTGCATGTATATTGTAMAACATAAAACCCAAGAAACAAAAAGAAATCACAAATAAAACAATGACACAAAAGCAACTAATATTTGCAATAGAAACATGAAATATTGTTAAAGAAATCACAAACACAATGCATGTTTCAGTAATCACTGAACAAACTCAGTGATGATCACTGAAACTGAATAAGCARAAACATATACTTCGATAGRTAAAAAGGATTATCATCAAATCAATGAGAGAKGATCAACAAGAAGKATAAGCAAAAGAAAGAAGAAGGCARCAAAAKGAAAGGGTCCTACTGAGGCATCTAGAATGCTCACTTTACCCTTCTCAGCTCTAAAAGTTCTAATGAATTTTCCTATGCCCCTACGGACAACTCTAGGGATGATGAAAGTAGTTCTACCATACCTCCCGACATTGCAGAGCCCACTTGATCCCTATCCAGTGGTAATCCTAGGCAGTTTACTATCATTATTGTGGCRGACCAATATGTGATACTGATAGGACAGAAGTTGAACATGGAGAAGGTTTCGRCCATGATTGTTTGAAAAATACCCCATTTGTCAAAAGTCGAGTCCAACAGCATGAATGGGACTCYATTATCGTCGTCGATCACAAAGCCAACATCTCACTGGTCTGAGAGTTTATGCTGAAGCTACTGGGAAAAGAGGCACTTGAGGTATGTCTTCACTGGGTGCACCACGATTCAGGAACCGTTAACCTCATGGATGGACCTACCATGGTGGTTWTGGTGGCACGTGCCACCATATTATTCCTYCRTTGAAGGGTAAAAAAATTTAGGTTCGTGAAAGGTGCAACCRTATTAATCTGTTGTGTGCCACCGTATGYATTTTGAAACTACAATGAGAACAAGTTTTATTTGGTAGAGTTGGTTTGCAAGGTTTTTATTCCACTCTAGACCCGAGTTCGAATCTTGTTAGTGTCATTTTCTTAGTCAAATAGTGTCACCGATTGAAAAAAAATTCCATATATTTGTTTCTTATAGTCAAACGGTGTCACTGTTTGAAATTTTTTCTCCGTGGTCAAAAGGTGCCACSGTTTGAWTTTTTTTTTGGGTGCRTCCCTGGTTAACCTAGTCTTTGACCTCAAGAAGCCCGACCCTTGAGCCTTTTCTACTTTGATGCAAGGAACCACTAAGGAAGAAAAAGATGAGATTGTCACGGATTTTGCTATTGAAAGAAATTCGTGGGAGACCTGTGGAAAGAAATGCCTTCCCGCCAACAATCTTATCACATAGACTGTGGTTTGGTTCTTGTTCCTCCGACACAGCCTATGGCCAACAATGCATGACATCACACCTCTAGAGACAAGATGGGGTAGGATCTACAAGCACGGGAGGAGGAGAAGGCAGAGCGGGAGGCTGAGAAATAATCGCAGCTACAGGCAGAGCGGGCAAAGCGTGTAGCTGATCAAGAGGGCTGAGTAGATAGCATAGGTAGCTTTAGAGACGCAACAGGTTGTGCTGCAGGTACAGTTTGATGAACTTATGCATAGATTCCCTCCTCATCCCCCTGATAGCTTGTTATTTGTACAGGCATATATCAAATATGATATGATTTGCTTCATTAATAATCCATTATATAAACCAAATACAATATTTTTGAATTATGTTTTTAAATACCAACATTAGCTATGGACTAATTCTTTGGAATAGACAAAATGCCTTTAGAAATCCTCACTGAATAGCCTTCAGAAATCCATCACTGAATGTTTCCTTTTAAAATATGTTGTTGAAATACGTCTTCGGAAATTCGTCACTGAAATATGCCTTTGGAAATTTATTGCCGAACGTTGCCTCAGTAATCCGCCGTTGATTGTGTTTTCAAATTCTTGGATCGTATAGAGGAGGTTGGTAATCCATCACTAAAAAAGACCTTTGGAAATCCATCTATGATGCATTACTTACAAAGTTTTGACAGACAAACTTTTGATAATGGATCACTGACGGTTATGACTTTTAGGACGGATTAGTGAAGGAAGTATTGTTCGTCGATGAAAGTCCTTGGGATTGTAGTATTGCCAATTGTGTAATAGTTGTCGCCGACTAGGTTTTGGCTTTAGTATACACGTCATTTTCTCCTTCTTCGACAACTCCAAAAAAATAAATAAACGGGTTCAGTCAGGTTGTTTCTTGAAAAKAATAAATAAATAAATATTAAACATCCAGAAACGTTTTCAAAACGTACCTTTAGAGTCGTGTTTACCATCTAACGTCCTTAGAAATAAAATATTTACATACTATACTTCGTCTTTCAAAACATATAATTTGACTGAGAAACTCCTCTCTAATGGTTTTGTTTTCCTGCTCAAACCTTTTGTAAGGTTTTTGGTTTTTGTTATCAAATCCTTCTCTAAAACATACATTTAGTTACAATTTTTTTTAAAATCCCATTGCAACAAGACGTTGACACAATAGATCAAAGACATTTGGGATAAAGCACATAATGAATGAGAATTTTCCCACCACCTCTTTAAGTTTATTTTGAAGACATTRTAACATGTTAAAATATTATTACACGATATAACGGTGCACACTATGTTTTCCCTCAATTTTGGAGGCTCATTGTGACGATACGTTGTCACAAAAGTTCGGAATACGTTCATGCGAAACAGTATTACATATTGTATGTTTTTCCACCACAATGTATAGTTTGTTGTGGCGATACGTTATCAAAATCTAATAGCCAAAATAACAAAAGTAGCCATGAATTAACTTCGTAACCTATTGCCAGAACACGTAATCCAATAGATGGCTACAACGAGCAACCGACTTTAAGTCACAATAGGTGTAGTAACTATAAATCTATTTTTGTGTTTTAATTCCGTAGAGTAGTTAAAGAAAACCAAAACAACCAAAATTGGTTTATTGTTTGGAAATACAACCAATGCCTAGATAAAACATAGTCTTGTACGCCTAGGGGTGAGTAGCGGAACCGGGTATCCACTTGTGGAACCGAAACTGCCTTGGAACTGTCACTTCCGGAACCGATATGAGTGGTTCCGGTTCCTAAAATACGGAACCGATTGAGAATGGTTCCGATTCTCAACTTTTCGGAACCATTACCCGTCGGGACCGTTTCCGGGACTGCGTACCCCGAACGGCGGGTACCCTGAACCGGAACCGGCGGGTACTCTGAACCGGAACTGGCGGGTACCCGGTATTTTCAATTAAAAAAATAATTTATTTTTTTAATACTAAATTTAAATTAGGTTAAGAACTTAAAGCTCTAGATTAGATTTTTGGTCTCGTCTCTGCGACTCATCGGCTCATACTCTCAAGGCCGAGGCCTCTCACGGACTGTCTTCATCGAATCATCGTAGTCACGCCGGATCTCTGTCTCACGACTCATACTCTCAGGCCTGTGTAGTTTTTTGTAAAAAAAATATGTGCATTTTTTATATAATTTGTCTTGTTTTTTTTTTTTATAATTTGTGTAGTTTTATGTTAAAAATATGAGCATTTTTTTATACAAAGTTTGTGCAGTTTTTTTTATGTAAAAATATATGTAGTTTTTTTGTTAAAAATATGTGCAGTTTTTTTACGAGTCTGTGTCGTTTTTTTAACACTCAATTATTCACAGGTACCGTACGAGGTCGAGGATGCGATGGTATGCAAGAAGTTGAAACGAGATTCAGAATTTGAGATAAAATGATTCTTATTTTTTTTTTCAAATTGTGTGTTTAATTGGATTCGTAGTATGTAATCGTTAAGTTTTGAACATTTTCAATTATAATATGTATTATGTAATCGTTAAACTTTCAACATTTACTATTAGTCTATTATGGYTTGTAATMGTTAAACAATATTCGTAACCATTATTCTGTATAATTTGTATTTTTGTTTATTTATTTAGTGTTTTAGCAATGTTTTATTTTTTATTTCTAAATAACAAAATTTTAATATTTTAGAAAGCGGGTACCCGCAACCGAAACCAGTTCCCGGCTGTTCCGGTTCCAAAAATTCAAGAACCGTTCTAATCGGCTCCAGTTCGAATATCTCAAGAACCGCCGGTTCCGGTTCCGGTTCCGGTTCCGATCAAATAATACGGATACCTCACCCCTGGCTACACCAATTTAGAATCTTGGGTGGTACATTGACCGCAATAAATAATGTATATCAATAATGAAATAAAGGTCATCAATGCAAATAATTAAGTAACAAGTACCTTCCTATTTTTAAAGATCTTTCTGCTAAATATGCGGATGCAAGACTTTTATAACTTATTCATACCTGTTAATTATGATATTGACTTTAATTTCCGGTATTTAGCGGTTAATCTTTAATTGTTTAAGAGCGACTTTATCAAAGTATATTTTAATGTTTCGTTTAATTATTTATCTACGTCGATATAATACGGTTTTTARTTGTTTTGARAAAAGTGATAATGTTTTTATTATATAAATATATTATAAAAATTTGGAAAAAAATCGTTTAATTATATATTTTTTATAAATATAATAATCAAGTATTTTGTTAGAACTAATGATTATCCTTTTAGATTTTTTATCTTCAAAATGAGATGTCTATCTCGTATTTGATTATGTTTACATATAGTTAATTATACAAATTCAAAAATAAAGTTTTAATAAGTTRTACTTACGCATAATTTACTTGTAACCTTGAATTTTAGGTAATATAAATCAAGAAACAGTATTTTATACATAAAAAATTATTTTTAATAGTTTTTRTYAAATRTTTTATAATATAGTATAGATTATATGAACGRTAATTAAATATTGTATYAAAAGTAATTTACAATTACAGAAAGCACTGATAAACAAATATAAGCAATAAAGTTTACAAGAAAAGCCGCAGAATTGCCTTTGCTTACAAGGTAAGTTGCGTGTATATTGTACAACATAAAACCCAAGAAATCACAAATAAAACAGTGACACAAAGCAATTAATATTTGCAATAGAAACATGAAATACAATCTGCACCAATCTGCATAACTAGCAGCAGAAGGGCAGAACCCATGATCACTGGTTAAAGCTTATTACCTATGATCACTGGTTTAAACATAAACCCTAAACAAAAAGGACTGAATTACTTGCTCACTTCTTTGAGGACGTCCGTTCAATCCCCATCTATGTATCGTCTGCTCGATCCTTAGACAAATCGTACAGCATGGAACCTCGGTTCTTTCGGGAGGAACTTCTGTTCGGTATATATGGACATGTAGTCACCAAACACGAACTTTGGGTAACCAAATTGATTGATATCTTTGTTTTCTTTTTCGATTAGTTGGGTTGCAGGTCCGATGGTGGCATTGTAGGATGGATTATAGAAGGAAGCTATCGATCTCCTGGTTCCGTTGGGCAAAGCCTGAACTCGGTGCCAAACGCTCTTGTACCTTCCGTTACTCAACACTTCTATTTGATCACCTGTATTGATGACGATGGAATTGGGGAGTGGTTGAACATCGATCCATTCGCCACCTTTGAGAATCTCGAGACCTCCAACCTCATCATCTTGGAAGAGAAGGATGATGCCTCCAGCGTCGGTGTGTGCCCGCAGACCGCTGACCATCTCCGGATGAGGACAAGGTGGGTAATGGCTGACTTTCGTCCCGAAGAACGCTTTTTCGCCTTCTCCACCATTGAAAGCCTTCTTAATATACCCTTTGGGGATCCCCAAGTTTTCATCCATGGCTTCCATCAGCTTCTCCGCTAATTTCTTCAGTTCTGTTCGGTATTCGGTCATGGTTTCCCTGTAATTCATTTCATTTACAAGTTAGATGTCAAATTTAACAACTCCAACCGTCTTTAATTTGCATTACTTATGCTTAATTACTTGAATGCGATGGTGTTTGGTGGCCATTCATTATCGTCTGAGAGAAGGAACACATCTTCCCAGTCGATATTTTCCAGCTTGTCTCCACTTTTTTTGTCGACCAACTCCTTCAACAGCTTCACCGGTGTCGAGCTCTTGAAAAAGCTTTCTTCCCTCTCTAACTTATAGCATTCAGAGCTCACCTTTTTCACCCTCTCCAGAAGCTCCACCGGAATCCCATGATTCACCAGCTGTAAAGAAAATACACCATGCAATGATCATTGCCAGAACATATAAACCGATACATACATACATACATATATATATATATAGTTATTTGCTTTATATATACACATCTAGATATGTTAATTTGCTCTTATGAATGGTTATGCTAGGTGGGTACCTGAAAGAATCCCCATTCTTCACATCCAGTTGCTATCTGAGCCATTGCTTCAGGTCGCCCAGGGCCGTCAAGTTTCGAGAAGTCGATCACCGGGATCGGCATTTTTTTCAGGTGGAAGTTAAAGAAAGTGAATTAGTAGTGTTGAAGTTTGAGTTAGATGATGTGGAAATGGTGTTGAATGAAAGGTTGGTTATGGTATGGCGTATTTATAAGCTCTGTTAATGGAAAATGTCAACGTAGCGTTTGAGATATTATAATGGTTTCTTGGGTGAAAGCATGATTTGGCAGCCATTAGAGGAAGGAAATAGGAATGGGTGGTGATTGATGATTGGGTGCAAAGCAAGGTCAATGGCTAGTTAGGAAGATAAATAAACTACTAAGATGCTGCTAATGCGCATTATCATTCGGTTGATAATGATTGATGATTATTTTAATGTAGACTTCAAATTACATTTCTACCCTCCACATTTCAAAATGCAAAATGGAAGTAGCTACGGGGAGAAAAATGGAAGTGTGATTTTGTATTTTAACCATCTTAAAAACCTATTTTTTAACCATCTTAAAAACCTATATTTCCTTAAATAGTTAAAAGTTATTAAAAGACTTTATGAGAAAATGATCTTTTACCTAAAGCTTATTTTCAGATAGAAAAAAGAAATAAGTTTTTCATGCAAAAAAAAAATTATACAGAAAAAGATTTTATGCGTAAAGTTTATTTTCAGGTCCAAAAAAGAAACTTAAAAAAGGAGTTTACGGAAAAAATGGAACTTTACGCAAACCTTTACACATAAATTTTACTTAGAAAACTTTATGCCGAAAATAGATTTCTTGCGTAAAGTTCCTTTTTTTGTGTAAACTCTCTCATTTTTGCATAAATTTCTATTTTTAAATTTTTTTCCCTCCTGAAAATAAACTTTATACAGAAAATACTTATTCTTCATAAAAATTTTGTAAACTTTTGGCTATTTTAGGAAAAAGCTTTGTAAAATTGCTAAAAGATGAAAATCATTTTATAAGATGACTATTTACATAAATTTCGGTGATAAACTGCATGACAATAAAGCTATAGTGTTTATTTTAATTTTAAGAAACAAATACGTATCCTCTATCTCTTTTGTGTGTGGGGGTGTATATATATATATAGAGAGAGAGAGAGAGAGAGGAGTTCTATTTTACAAACCACATAATTTATATATAGTGTTTATTTTAATTTTAAGAAACAAATACGTATCCTCTATCTCTTTTGTGTGTGTGGGGGTGTATATATATATATATATATATAGAGAGAGAGAGAGAGAGAGAGAGAGAGAGGAGTTCTATTTTACAAACCACATAATTTATACAAACTAATCATACCTATCCGTTTATTTGATCTACCGCTAATATTGAGGGATATATCTTTGGTAATGTTTTAATTA